CACCAACCTGCTAATGGCACGTAGTTGGACGGAAGTGGCTGATGATGGGATCGGAGTTGACGTCATCTAGCCGGACTTCTCCAAAGATTACGACCTTCTGGATCACCGCAGCCTACTTCAACGGCTACAGAGCTAAGGAATCAGATATCCTGTTCTTGGTGTGATTGGCAACTTTCTTCACCAAGGGAAGCTTCAAATACATTTTAGAGGAGCACTCGATAATTCGACTGAGGTGGAATTTGTCTTATAAGACTCAGTGCTGGTACCGCGTTTATTCCTTATGTTTATCAACGACCTGGAAAGAGTTATCTCCCCAAATTTCCTGCTTCTCTCTAATGACGTCGAGATATGGCGGACGATTAGTGACAATGCAGAGCACGATCTATTCCAACTTGACCTGGACTGCATTTTTGAATGGTCAACGAGGATCCTGTTTCAGTTAGACATAGCGAAGTGCAAGGTGATACATCTGCGTCGCCAACCGTTGACCGTTTACAAGCTTGGTGACCGCATCTTGCAGAAGTCCTCTCAGGAGCGTGACCTGGGTGTACTAGTGCAGGACGATCTGGGACGCTCAAAACAAGCGGATGCGTTGAGAACCAGCAATCAACAGTTTGGCTTCTTCGCAGAGCGTTTGGTCGGTTTGAACCCTCAATCTTCCCACAAATGCTTAACGGCTAAGTGCGACCGCACGGAGAATATGCAATCCAGGCATTGCAGCTGTGGCATAAACAGGATCTCGTTACTCTCGAGATTCCTCAAGGAGGGGCAACCAAGAACGTCGGGAACTTCTTCCATCTGCCCTAACAGCTTAAACTGAAATCTATAAGGTACAGCAGTTGATATCGGCGATCGCATGAGGGGACTCATAATGGTTTACCAGATTCTGAAGAACCTAAACCACATTTGCCGCCTGCTGCTGGAATTGAACCACAACAACAACCTAAGAGGTCATCTTTCAAAACAGACAACAAAGCATAGCCAGCTTGGATGCTGTAGAAATTTCTTTTCTCTCTGTGTGTGCCAGTCTTGGAACGCTCTCCCTAATTATGTCCTCTCAGCCCCCAATCTGGCGATAGTTTAAAAACTAGTTGACGTCGCGTTGTCTCATTTGCATTTCATTTTATAACTTGTCAGCCAGGGGGCTACTAAAATCGATCAAACGGTGTCATACCAAACTCTAACCAATTGATTTAGGTGTTACTACGTTTACTACGCGAACATCTTCGCTACTCTTCATACGTCTATGGTGAGTTCACTAAAACGCTTTTCACTTTATCACAAAATCCTTTGGGCAGTAATTTCCATCCCACGGGACTTGTTAAGCATTGGCTTTTTATCTGTAATATATCATTGTTTCATATTCCTGTCAAATGTCGATTCCAGAGTTGTGGTTAGTAACCTGGATTATGTTGCAGGCATTGGAGACAGTCATGAAAGCTGCATCGCCTCACTTGTGCTTGGTACAGAAAACTGGCATGTTGGCATCGCTTTCGGCGTCTTTATTCGAGGCGACCGAAGTTTAGGTTGCTCAACTCTGAGCTGCCGATGTACTGACCGACCCGTTATGTGTAGCTTTCAAGTAAGGAGTAAAAACAGTCACGCTGAATATGGCTTGCTTGTTTGGTGTGTTAGTATGTGTCATAGTATTTGGCGCAGACACCGTGAGGCGGTTAACGAGATTGACGTCGCTCACTAATCTACGAACAGAGCTGAGAGGGATTGCTGGGAAACAGTATCGGTCTTGTTAATTTCCAATGAAGGTTGAAAACTCGCCATATACTGGACTGTTTCAGTCCGTTTTTCGCACTTTTCCTGAGCACCATTATGGACAATTGGAATGGCTCTGCATATTTAGCAAATCCAGTGCGTATTAGTCAAATTGGATTGCCTCTTTGAGTCTAGAGGACTTGCGATACCCCACTTAGGGTGGAACGCAAGGACATTTTAGGACAGGTCAGATCTCTTCTGTTCCCTCGTGCACATTTCGGCTCACTACATCTGCCGCCAAGTGGAATCATGTTCACTGATGGCTGTTTTTTCAATGGAACGCTGTATATGTGCGGACGCGTGGCGTGGATTAAGTGATCCTCACGTTCTTTTTCACAGTCATCACCAAAAAGCGGCGCCAAGCCCCAGAACAAAACATTACAAAAGTTTGAATACTCTTAACTATGTTATTGTGAACTTTTGTTATTTTGGCACAATGCACGTTGGCTTGACCTAGTAAGTCTGCGCATCCGCCTCGCATCTTTGCCGGTTAAGCATTGGTGTGTACATTTTGTGTCAACAAATTGGAGCAAACAAAATGTTGCTCAATAATAATTGCACAATAATAATAATACTAATAATAAGCTATTCGTTTCTTGAACTATCTACAAAATATGTTCACAAGAAAACAGAGCTGGTATTAGTGGAAGCTCCTCTTCGACAGAGTAACACAGTGAATAATGAGAATTCCGAAACTAGCTGGCTAGAACATACATATCGGTGCTGTTCCACAGAACTATTATGGTGCACACAGGCAGAATAATGTCATTCGTTACCGCGCACTGTCTGCATATTTCAGTTGTGAAGCGCCCTACTCAAATGCGATGCGCGCTTGTAGACCCTAATCCGCAAACTGGACGTATACGCAGCTCCACAATTCCGACATCGATGTGTCTCGGCTATTTTCTTAGGCGAACTGTCCCAGTATTTTACCACTCGATACCCGAAACGTAGCGTATGAGCTATCTGCTTCAGACCTGTTCCTAAGAGCTTGTACCTGTTTCCATGTGTATTGCTTAGTGCGTGCACTTACAGCAGCGACCACTGGATGGGAGTCTTGTGTCTGCGCTTTGTAATCAGGAGAATCCGGTAGTTAAGGAACACCATGAACCAATATGGTTTTCTTGATTTCGTTTGTAGAGGGGCCGCCATGGTTGCGCTTTTCCTTTGACCACCCTTTCCAAGTGACATCTGGTAGTATGCGTACACGAAAGTCAAAATGTTGAGAGTAGAACAGCCCATCTCTCCACTTGAGTTCAATGTTATTTGAAGAAATGGAGCTTCTCAGTAGTGCACTGAATTTCGATGACGTGCTACGCGTATTAGCATACTGGGCTCAACCCGAATACCAATCCCATCGCAAATGGAATTCCACTGGTTGCGATGGTCTAGCAACTTGCACTTTATTTTGACAGATTTGGACTCGGGAACATTAGTGTACACGGGAGTTAACGCATTGGATTTCTGTCTAGCGAATGTCGAGTTGTGAGTTGTGGTTTTTGACTTGGATAGTTCAGCAGGCACTGGAGGCGATCATGAAAGCTGCGTCGCATTGCTCGTGCTTGGTACGGAATAGGGAAATACAGGTTTTAGGTCTGGCAATTTTATCACGGTGACTGATACCCGACTACGGGTTGTCGATACAGTGCCCAAATCATTAGGTGTAGGTTCCAGGAATGGGCTGAAAGTAGTCACACCGAATGTGACTTGCCCAACTAGAGGGTTAGTAAGTGTCGAAGGAGGTGAAACAGACCGTTGGACGGTTAGTAAGCTTGAAGCTACTGTTTGTTTTAGGGCAGAGCTGAGAGAGATTTGCTGTGGAACAATATCGGTCGAGTTAATTTCCACAGCCAAAGCCTTGAATCTCGTCATCTGCTCAACACTTTCAGTTTATTGCCTTTTTACTACCTTTTATATATAAACTCATCAGGACACTACCCGAATTCTGTCACTGACGCTTGATTTTATCTACTGCGGTCGGAATTTCTTTTCCACACGCGTTTGCAGAACGTGGAATGCCCTACCGAAACCTGTTATCTGTGCTCCCACGCTGGCAGCATGAGAAATCCAGACTTGACTGCACACTTATTTCGATGCACCGTCACATGATCCGTTACCCATGGATAAACACGAGTGCCTGGAAGAGATTTCACTGGCGGTTCCAGATTTCCTTCCACTTTTTAACCATCTGTAAGTCTACACCGGAATAAGAGATTATTTTTACTAACATCCCATTTACCATCATTCGTTATGGATTTAACTTGGATTTAACAGTTTATACTACGTATACTTCAATGAGTGCACCGGTATAAAACTAATTTTGCTAACAATTTTTTGATTAATATGTTGATGTTTCACCATAATCATCCTACGGGACCTGTTAAGCATTAGCTTTTTTTCCGTATAAAACCATTGTTCCATTGTTTACCTAAATCTTCAGTGGCCATTTCAATCTTTCGATATTTCACCTTTCTGTAATAAACGAATACATCGCATTTTAAATATACCGTTTCGCTTTTTTCAAATGGATGGCTGGTTGCCCGAAAAAGGTATGCGACCATTGCTTGCGCTATGTTTCGTGGTGGAGACGTAACAGTTTCAGCTGCGATGAACCCACTACACAGCAAATACCATACTCCATTTATAACGACTATAGTTATTAAACCCGTAGTTACCATTTGTAACGATTAGGTTTCCCAATGACCTCTCTATTCTAGTGGTTACATAAACGCTACTTCTCACTACCTTCCATACCTGAAATATCGAAATAAAAGAGAGTGTAACGAGAATCTAAACAATGCATGTAGCGGTAGATAATTCGTCTATACCAATAAAAGTTGAAGTGTTTACTTGAGAGTATTACTAGATCTAAAGCTCTCAGATTCTCGTTCATCTTAGCATCTTTGTTTGTTCCCCGGATTCATCATTGCCGCTTAAGTAAGCTGCTGCTACAGCGTATTGAGATAATATAAGCTGCCGTTAGTAACCCACCGCTAGTAATGAGTTAATCCTTTACAATTTAATGGCTTCCAGCTGTCACCAAAGAGCTTGCAGAATTGGTAAAATGAAAAAGTAAACCTATCGCTTCACATTTATTACAAATGTTCTATGCCTAATAGTTACGCAAGGAAACCGAATGTCTAGTACTACGCTTACATTATGCGAAATAGAGCATGAGCAACAATGTCAAGTGTGACACATCTAGCGGTACATTAACGATTACATCTCACCTTAACGGGGGAATATCCTTGCTCCAATGCACTGTGAATTGCAGCTATGGTTGATTTAAACACTGGGTACCCAGTCAACTTCTGCACTCGTTCCGGTTTCAGACTGTCCAAACTGATGGTGACAGAATCAAGACCGCAATCCCGTAAGACCTTGGCCTTCTTGGCAAATCCCACTCCATTAGTAGTCATGCACAGTGTTTTCAACGTCCGATTCCGTTTTCTGATACCGTCCAGTGATTCTGTGGAAATTGCATTTTCATCTTGAATGTAAGTGGCTAAACTAACCGACAATGTCTACGAGGTCCCTTCGCAAGAGCGGCTCGCCTCCGGTCAGTCGAATCTTCGTCACACCGCGATGTACGAAGTAGGTGGCGAGAAATAGTAGATGGCTTGTTGAGATAGCATTGCTGCTCGGACATGATAGTAAATTAATCGGCCGACAATATGAACCTAGCAGCGTGTAATCAAAATCTTACGCTGCTTTTCCAACTTACACTTCAAGTTACATGCTTCGGTCAACGAGACACGTAGGTACTCATGAACCCTGTCAAAATTATCCTTAAGTTTATTGAATCTGAAAACCTGTTATTATCGAACTCCGTCGAATTTGATAGATACCTTTTCAGAGGCAGTTGCGAATTTACTAACCATGAAAGCACGCCGGTGTTATTCGGAGGAAGTGCATGTTTAAATAGTGAAACTGCGAACCAATCCAAATCTTCCAATGTGCCGAAACCCAATTTGCACAAAAGGTCTGTGTCAATTGGATATCACATACGTGCAAAAAATTCTGATGTGTAAACGTATTGAACCATTTACCTTCGTCTGGTGGTGCCACGCGGAGGAAATTGTCCTCCTTTTCAGAGAACACCTACCTATTATTGCATCGGGGAGGTCAAGTGTTCTGTGGGTCATCAAACAAGTAGGAATAGAAGCAGTGCTTGAATCCAACTAAGCGCTATACCAAAAACGTAACACGAAAGCAAGGGGGTTGTAGTCCATGTCTCGTTATTGGCAATTAGTTCGTCAAATACTGCGGATTTGGCCAGTTGATATTATCATTTCATCGCTAGTGTCACCTAGTGACGAACTAACCCAGGTGGTGAAAAAGACACCACTTACACCTGATGTCGAACAACTGTTTCATCTCGTAATCCTGCAGTGGAACCTATCACCTAGTAATTTATTCTATTGTTCATCAGTGGGATCCATACAGTCATTTAAATTTATTATATTGCTTTCTGTCTGTGTAGACACCGTGGACACATATGGTTTCGAATGAATTACCCTAATGCGCGATCAGACATACAAACCAATCAAGTGAAACTATTCATTAAGTAGCGTGGTTTGGTTGTTTAAAATCGAACTAGTTGCATCATGGCTTACGTACTGAGGAGAGGCACTTTCATTCGGTACGTTCTTAATAAGTGTTGCCAGGTGCTACTTATCGAAAACGCAATTGTTTGTTTCTTTCTTTCATTGTGAATGACCAGATTTCGAACTGCTAACAAGCCGTCGATACTGGATCTTGTGCTCACTAATGAAGAACTCATGGTTAGCGGGATAGTTACAAGCACACCACTGGGTCGTAGTGATCATGTTACTCTACTCTTTGACTATATTTGCTATGCGGTGTACTCTGAAAACGAGGAGGATAAAGTGCATACTGTCACACACTACGATGTGTTGTCTAAGCTAGTTAAGGATACATCTTGGACTTTCTTAACCGAATGCCCCCCAGACGTTGCCTGGGAAACATTTACAATGACTTTTAGTAAACTGGAAGCGCACGCATCGGAGCAGAAGTCCTTCCAACCTAAAAACAAGCGTAATTCATTTCTGAGGAGCAGGACACGTAAACGTATGTCCCGGAGGGATTTGGCATGGCGAGATCACCAGGACTGCCCGAATGCCGAAACCTGGACTGCATACGTGACCCATCGTAACTTCTGTGTGAAACTGATCCGCGAAGACAAGGTCACTCATCAGCAGAAGTTAGTGAAGCGATTCTGCACGAATCGCAAACTCCTGTACAGGCACGTTAACGGCCTTCGAAAGGTAAAGCGAGGGATTTCAGCACTAGTCAGGGCTGATGGGTGCACGCGATCAGCAATGGAAGCAGCTGATCTCCTACGGCTTCATTACTTCCGAACTTTCCAGAAGGTAACGAGCACAAACATTCTCCTCATTTCTAGTACTCCACCATCTGGTTTAGACAACATCACCTTCACTGCGGAAGCTGTGTTGAAGAAGTTGTTATGCTTGCGTATCCACAGTTCTCCCGGAGCTGACAACATCCGACCAAAGGCTCTGCAGGCGGTAGCTAGTGATCTAGCAGAACCACTGGCTTTTTTCTATCAGCGATACCTGGAGGAGAACCGTATTGCACCAGTATGGAAGCGAGGGGTCATCACTCCTATTCATAAAGGAGGTAGCCGCACTGATCCTGCCAACTACCGTCCAATAACACTACTTCCAGTACTATCCAAGTTGATGGAGTCAATCATCGCAGGTGCGCTGATGGAATACCTGGAAAGCCACAATTTAATAGCCCCAGAGCAACATGGCTTTCGTCAAAAGCATTCGTGTAACACTAACCTATTAATTGCACGTAATAGCTGGACTGAAGCTGTTGATGATGGGATAGGGGTCGATGTCATCTACCTGGACTTTTCAAAAGCATTTGATCGCTTAGACCATCGCATTCTCCTTCAGAAGCTTCGGAATTACGGCATTGGCGACCCAATCCTGAGTTGGATTGACAATTTTCTACAAGAACGACGGCTAGTGGTGAGAGTCCGATAATCATTGTCTGATGCAATCGATGTGGCGTGCGGAGTACCACAAGGCTCGGTTCTTGGACCTCGTCTATTCTTGGTGTTCACTAACGATTTGGCGAGATCAATTGCTTCCGATTTCCTATTTTTCGCTGATGATATCAAGATATGGCGAAGGATCAGAGGACCGGAAGACCATGAACGGCTCCAGTGCGATCTTAATACAGTGTCGAACTGGTCACTTCAAAACGCCCTACCGTTCAATGTAGACAAACGTCGCGTCGTACAATTACGCCATAGTCAAAACTACACCTATTCACTTGGGACCAACGGACTGCAGAATAGTTCCCAGGAACGTGATCTTGGTGTGATCGTACAGAGCGACCTCAACTGTCCTAAACAAGCTGAGGTATCTGTAAAAAGAGGCAACCAGCATGTCGGTATGTTGCGAAGGGCATTCGGAAGATTTGGCCCATCAATCTTCCCAGTGATGTACAATTCCTACATGCGCCCGCATGTTGAATACGCTATCCAAGCTTGGCAACCTTGGTTGAAGCGTGACCTAGAATCGATAGAGGCACCACAACGGAGAGCAACAAAAAATGTAAAGGGCCTGCGCTATCACTCTTACCACCGAAGGCTGAAGTTGCTGGGTATTTTCAGCGGGCGTTATCGAAGACTGCGCGGTGATCTCATATTAGCGTATCAAATATTGAGTGACCCCAACCACGTATGCCGCCATTTGCTGAAACTTAGCCACAACACGCAGCTCAGGGGTAACTGCTTAAAGTTGAAGGAGCAATACAGCCGTCTAGAGTGTCGACGGAATTACTTTTCCCTTCGGGTTTGCAAACCTTGGAACGCACTACCAGACTCAGTTTTATCCTCTCCCACCTTGGATGTTTTCAAAAAACGACTAGATGTTGCTCTTAGCTCCCAACATTTTGTTACCTAAACTCCCCTACTGTGGATTACGCCAAGGATACATTTCCACAGGATTTATGTATCAATTGGACCTAAGTGAGCGACCATATTTTATTTTTCTCACTCCTTACCTCAACGATCACTGCACCCCAGTGTCTTTCTGAACGTTTACGCTCGATAATTTATTTTAATTTTACACTGATGTTACTTATCACACTATTCATGTCGGCAGACGTTCGATAGATGACCCATATATATTTTGATTTCATCATATTCACCTCAACCATCCTACGGGACGTGTCAAGCACTTGCTTTTATCCCGTGATAAATCATTGTTCATTGTTCATTGTTCGTGTGATCTGATTCATGGTTCCCGAGAATATCTAAGTGTAATTGGCGGTGCGCAGAATTTATTTTGAGGATGGCATTTATTATATGTTGCACCGCTACAACTTCGAATTTTTACACTATATTCCGGAGGTCTGCCTTTACACTGATTATTTCTGTGGCATAAGCTGCTGCCCAGCGACTATGGGTTCAATACCTGATAAAGATAAAGGATGCGCGTCACTGACGAACCTTGATGAGGCAAAACCTCCGTCTGCTGCTTTTATGTATTGGTGGTCAGACTTACTGGTTTAGAAGCTGCTGGAACGAATTGGGAAAATGCCATCGAATGCCCTTCTGCGTACAAACAGTACCAACTTAGACCCATGCTGGATTATCCTCCGGATTTTCATCTAGATTCTCCAAACACAATCGTCTGTGATCGTTAACACTAGTGCTCGAATATTGACCGTATCTGTAGCGCCAAGTATTTATGCGCTAAAATTAAGTAAGAGTTCGTCGCAGCAGCTCCAAACCAGATAGTTCTTCACATACCTGGAACATGCCTAGACGACCGTTTCGACCTGTTAGGTGTCGTCAGTAGTGCGCATCCGTCGGCTCCAACAGGATCCGAAACCACGCTCACCAGCGGCTTGAACCATCAGACATCAGCTTACACCACTGAACCATCGGGGAGAGCGGCGGACTGCCATGTACTTAAGAACACAAATATATGCGCACGTGGGGGGCTTTCTAATATCAAAATTGCTTTGATGAAATATCAATAACTAAGCTGAAACATCTCCTACTCAATAACATTTCAGGAGGCTGGGGATCCTGATTCGCATATATAAATCGTAAACATTTTCTTACAGATCGATAATGGTGAGTCGTTACCCTATTGTTGATTATTCTAACGTTTTATTTGATATTTGGGTCACTAGGTCCATCACAACTCTTATTTCTTCTGACTAGTCCGTGAAACTCAAATGCGTTTGTCGGGTGTTATTTCTCTATTTAACCGGCTGAGTTCGGCTATGTAGGATTTTGTGACGCTCATCTCAAACTGTAGTTGACCGCTTTTAACATGGATGCATTCTAAACGAAAATTTGAACTTCAAGGACCCTATCTTATGTTTTCCGATTTCAGTGGTGAGGCAGGTTCGTTAATTTCTACCTGTTATCCGTAGGGATGAAGGTTTAAAGTGAAGGAGTAACCAATCTCAAAGGAGACAGATCGGAACGCATGTCAGAACGAACAGCACTGCAGTCTCGTGCTCGAACATTGTGAACTTTCAGTGTTCTTCCAGATCCATGCAGCTACGGATCACTCATTTTTAAGCGAACTCAGTCGAAACGCTCAATGGCTTGCGACTGTCCCATATCCACTGTCAGCCACAATAGTTATGCTTTGGAGAGACTGTTGAAACAATTAGGTCCCACCGCTATTGCATTCAAGCGTCCGGTGAACAATGAACAGTATATCTGCCGCAACGTTAGACGACTGTTGTACCAGGTCATGGGTATAACCTGATAAGACTCTAGTATAGAAACAACGCGATCACTAAGCTGCGTTGTTAGAAAGCCGCTGTAAGGGCTTCAATTGGAGATACTTGAAACAGCA